TTTACATGGTATAGAAAAAGTGAATATGAACTGCAAAGATAGATGACCCCCTTCCATCTGCATTTTGGTGTGAATCTGTCACTTATTCTCCAACAGCCTTCTAGTCCAATTTAGGCTATCAAGGTTAAATTATAAGATACTAGATAAGGAGGTGTGGGGGGAGGGGTGGGGAGGTATCTCTGTTCTAGATGATACTTTAGGCCAGGGGTGGGGAACCTGCAGCCTTGAGGCCACATGTGGCCTTCAAGGTTCTTGGGTGTGGCCTTTTTATAGAGTCCAAGTTTTATAGAACAAATCTTTTTATTAAGGGGATTATTCTGTGAAGTTTGGATTCAGTCAAACGGCTGTACTTGAGGACCCAGAGGGTCATATGTGGCCACGGGCTCTGATAAGTGTTTTATAATGTCCGCTTAGAAGAATTTTTTTTTTTACTGTAACATTTTCTATTGCTCTTTAGATTGAGAATTAAATATTAATCAATTATCTGATAAATATTTAAGGGTCTACTGTGTGTCAGTCACTATACTAGGTACTGGGGGTTAAAAAAAAAGAAAAGAAACCTGTCCTCATGGAGCTTACATTCCATCACAATTAAAATAATACAATTATAAGTATTACATAAAATATATTATATATTACATAATTAATATATGCATGTATGTGTGCATATTCCTTTAATAGAAAGAATTTCCTTCCATCTAGCTCTTTTAGGAGCTCACTGAAGCAAAACAGTAAGATTGAAAGAGATGTCTGAGTAATAACAAGATTGTGGTGAGGCATGTATCCTTTTTAAGGAGTAGGAATTAGCTTGGGAAGTTTTATAATTAAACACAACGTAGGGAAAGGAAACATCTATTAATAAGAGGCTAGAAGGTGCCCTAAGTAATATATTTGAACCAAGACAGAAGTAGAGGCTAAGCAAGATGCTGAGCTGCCAAGGAGGATGCTTTCCTATGTCTCCAAGAAACAAACAAAATCTTTGCTGAGAGTGAATGCTAAGGGGAAGCTAGCAGATGCCTTGCAGGAAGAAGGGGAGAGATCTCCTTCCAGAAAAGCAAAATCTGGACCTTCTTGGGAACTCTAGAAGGACTCCCTGTTAAACTTCCTATTAAAATGCAAAATGCAAATGATGAGGAGGGAAAAGAGAAAAAGATGGAGAGGTAAAGGGACTATTTATTTCTGGGAAATTTTTGATTCAGCATAAGAACTATTTGAGAAGGAGAACAGGTAGAGAAGGAGTAATTCTAGTACTCATACATAAGGTAATTTGAGCATCAGCCTTGGACTTCCCCATTGAATTCATGGTGGTTTCTAATTTTTAATTTTTTTTTTATTTTTGCTGCTACAGTAAATCAATTAACAGGAGAGTCTAGTCAAGGATACTACACAGTACCATCATGTCCTATTTATGGTATATTGTACCTAATCAATGTAGTATTAAAAATGTGTCCTCATTCAGAAGTAGAACTGAATACTGGCCTTCTTTTCAAAAAGTACAACCTTCAAGCCTCCTATATACACTGGATTGGGTATGTGATTTTATATATGAATATAAATATTTTATATCTTTTTTTTCAACAGAATTGCCAAACACACAGCAGTATTTAATAGTGGTCAAATTTTGAATGAATGAAACAAAATTTCTGCGACTGAGCTAAGTAGTGCTATGAAACCAGTTCTTTGTAAATCCAAACAATATGTTTTTTAAAAAGCGCAGACAAGCAAAAAACAATTTTGAGGGGAAAAAAAACAAAACAAGCCTCCTTCTTTCTTCCCCAAATCCAGAGTAATTATAAGGTTCTAAAATTTGTTTCTCATCATAATAAACACTAATAGGGTGATTGCGAAGATCAAATGAGACAATATGTGTGAAACACTTAGCATAGTGCCTGCCACAAAGTAAGCATTCAATATGTGCTTGTTCCCATCTCCTCTAGTGAAGAGTCTGGGCTGATGTTTCTAGGTCTCTAAGCCGGTTGACCAGTAGGCATTGACTCCCTGATGAACTTATGGGAAATATATCTCAAAAAAATCCACTTTTGAGCTTCAAAGATTCATCTTGAGGTTTAATCAAGTATTTATTATGTTGCCAACAAAAAACCAACCCATTAAAATTCATTTAATATGCCTAATCAATCAATCAACAAGAATTTATAAAGTGCCAGTTATGTGCCAGCTGCTGTGCAAGGCACTGGGGATACGGTAACAAAAACGAAGCAGGCTCTTCCTTACCTCCAGGTCCTTCCATTCTATCCAGGGACACGTACACATAAAAGTATGTACAAAGTACTTATTCAAGGTAACTCAGTGGGGGAGGCATCAGCAGCCTCATGTAGGTAGACCAGAGTTGAAAATATATTACTAAAGAACCCATCTCAAAATGATACCTCCCAAATATAACATAAAATGCTAATAAAATGCTGTAATTAGAACTTTCCAACCGAGTAAGATAATCCAAATGTTTCCATATGGGACTTAGAAGAGCAGTACTTTCTTTTGCATATGTTCACCTAGCTACAAGATAATTTTGAGCACCCGGGATGTGCCTATAAATCCAAGTAAGTAATTCTTTAAGTACCCAGTAAGCTTCTATCGCAATAATTTAGAAATGACAACAACAGAAAGTCAATCTATCTTCCCCAGTAAAGGTTGGGAATTGAGGGGAGCATTGATGAAAGGAAGAATTACTTCACTCGTTCTTTTAGCATTGGCTTTGTAAGGACTATGTTTCACTGACCATAGTACCTCGAACCTATGTAGGTACCCAATTGGTTTCTCTACTGAATGCTCTAGCTCTACAGGAAAGCTCAGCATCTCTGTAAAATAATTTATTGAAAGTAACTCAAAATTATTTATGCCGATTTCATAATATGGTTTGTAATTTGGTTGTACTACACCTGTCTTTGTGATCTAAACTAATCAATATTTGGAAAACAGCATTAAGTTTTCAAAATCTTAAACAGGACTTTTAAAACAAGAAAAAAAATCTGTGCCTAGGACTGATAATTGCTAAAATTAATATTATTTCAAAATCTGGAATCCTTAAAAATGAACCTCTTTATAATTTAATTATGTTTTCTTTTAAAGCAAAAGGTCCCATAAAGCCCAATAGGGTCAGATAAGAGAATGAGGGCTTGAGAAATTTCATTTTGAAAGAGTCCAAATAATTGCAGAACTTAACATTTATCTCTACTTTAGCTCAAAGTCATCAGAATGACTTTTATATCAACGCCTTTCAGTGAGTGATGAGCACAAGATTTGCCAACTTGTCCTGCTTAAAACTCATTAGGCCATGAAATAACTTTACCCTGCCAAGCCTGGACAGGAGAGCATCTACTGTTTTGGCATTGTCTGTGTTATTTAGACCAGCCATCTTTAGACATTTGGGTCAAGTTTCTAGAAATTTGTTGTTTGAATTTGACTGAGGAATCGAGTATCCTATCTTCATAGACTAATGTAGCTAATTGGCATCCATTTGTAACATAGTACTCTTGGTGACAATTGTCCTTAACCTGGTCCAAGTTTAATCTAATTTATGTAAACTGGAGGCTAGCAATCAATCTGAATTTAAAGAAAATAGTAAGATATTCTTCTCTACCTAAATTGAACATTATCAAAAAACAAGACTGTATTACATGGTAATGCTCAAATATAGACAAATCTCCTTATTATTTTATAAACGAAAGTAGATTGATGAGAAATTATTCTATTCGTTAAAGATAACTTTATTATTAATGTCTATCCTTTGTCTGGATTTATATTCTTATAATGCTATTGGGATTTGTGAGAGAAAGGGGATATCCTACATTTCCCCAAATGATGCTATGGCGAAATAAATATAATAAAAGAGACTTTTTTCAAATAGTATATTATTATAGTTCCCATATTATAAAATACTGACTTTGAAAATTACATTTCTATGAACACACACATACATTAAATACATAAGTCATTAAGTTAATTTGAGTGAGAGATTATAGACTTTCACCATGATCTCTTCTTTATCTTAAAAGTGTTCTATAACTTTAGGCTGCACTGTAGGGCCTAGAAATATTTCATATCCTACTGTTCATTCCAAGAAGCAATCAGAGGTTTTTAAAAGGCATACTAAGTGGCAAAATGATCATATTATAACACATTTAACTGGTATGTGAGAATTATCAGTCAAATCATCTCTAAAATCACCATAAAATGATTTTTTCCTTTATTGAGTTAAAGGGTTTCTCCTACCAAATATTGCTCATTTTAATCTTTTAAAAACATTTATTTCTTGAATAATGCCTTTAAATCTTTGTTCACTATATTGGGAAAAAAAACCCATCTTCTACATTTATTTTTTGAGCAATCCCCCTCCCCTTGGTGCCAGAAAAAACAATGATGTATAAGGTGATAATAAGCACTATAGTATTGTAAAAACAAGGAATATTTATGAATCAAAGTAATCTTAGACTGTACAAAATCTTCTTAGACATAAAAGTAATTATTTTATGAGAGTAAAATACAAAGATAGAATACATGGAAATAAATGATAAGGGAGACTGAATACACAAGGGTCACATACTTTCCATCCAAGAAAACTAATGAAATTATTTATCTACATATGAATTTACTGGTATGCAATCTATGAAATACAAACTGCACCACTTGTATTCATTCCATTTCTCAGCATTGAAAACTCACATTTTAAAAGTAAAATAATGTTATTTCTATGTGTACTTATGTCTAATAAGTGAGGATATTTGAATCCAATAAAAATGTTTGAGTAATTGAAATGGATATCAAACACATAATTGCAAAAACAATTTTTGCTAAAATGTAAATTAATCATGTTTAATATAGACATGTATACACATACATGTGCATATGCATATACACATACAATCAGACACATATATATCCCTAGACAAGTTGCCACCTCTACCTATGAATTTGGAAAATAACTTTGCGCGTAAAGTTTCCTTAACATCTTTAATTAATGAACATAATGCAATTCTACTTACACTTGCATGGAGTTTTCCCTTTTTTGACATCGCTAAAAATTTGTTGCTGAAAACTCCTCGTATTCCTACAATCCCCTGAGACACAGCAAATATTTCCAAAACACCTAGGATGACAGAAATCCCAAAATAAAACACAGATTGCTTGAAAGTGCTGTGAAGAATTCAATGTCTATACTGTTTCGCTTTATGTTATGTCTTCTTTGTAAAACCAAATCTACTTTCTTGTTTTGCTCAACACCAATTTTGAGAAAATTGGTTAGCACCTTAAATGATTAATTGCAGGCTCCGAAGATATTTCATTAATCTCTTTTTTGTTATTAATACTCATATGTTTTCTTGCAAGCACTGATCCACATTTACTAAATAGTATTTGATGATAATACCTTTTAAATGGAAATTAAAGGAATTTTTTTTTCATTAGTATTCTCTAAAACCCAACACAGGGTTTTTGGCAAGAGTACTAAGCCTCATTTCTATTAAATATATGGAATTTGCTCTGTAAGTCAACTATAAAGAAATAAAAGCATTGAAAATATTATGTCTTTAAATTCAAATTTGACAAATCTTTACAATTAGACAAGCATATCTTCTACCTTTATTTATTACAATGCATTATTATATAAATATCTGCAGTGCATAAGGTAATATTTGTATTACAGGTATTTAGGAACTATTGGCTCAATAAAATTAAGTTTAATTGAATAAAGTTTTTATAGCTTGTGTTTTTTGTGGGAATATAAAAATTTAATTGGAATTACTTAATTCATATTGTATATATCAGTCCAATACTATTAACATTTTTTTTAGTCTCTGTTCCTTTATTTGGAAATCACAGATCCACAGGGATTAAGGAAAAAAAATCCCAGATGACAGAAAATTGTAAGTGAAACAATTGTGATTTATCCCATAGATTGGCAATTCGAGAATCAATATTATGCTATGAAAAGAGGAGTTTAGAATATAGCTTTAATCTCACAGTCATATAAATATCAGAGAAACAATGGGGGATACTGTGGGAAGAAATTATCCCGGTTTTCCATTTTCCCCACTATCTGCATATTGGAGATATATGGAAAAGAAGCCTTTTGTCCTCCCGTCATGTTGTGGATCTACCAGCATTTTCAGAAAGTCAGATACACAACACTCCCCATTTATAAACTATGCATTAATGTGTGATCATACTTGCATCACAGAAGGGCGCTCTATTTCACATCAGGGTTTCCCCAGAGTCCCTGAAAAATCCAATTTTTCCTGGCACGTGGGAAATACTTTTTTCAAATTCTTCAATTTACACTTAATTTTTCAGAACTTTATCAGTTCTCCAGAGTGAGGGGCACCTAAATGCTGCACTATTTAGAGAAATCTCTCAGCTAAATTCCATGAGATTACTTGGCCAGGTGGCAATTTCCCCAAGCAAGTCAGATCATCTGAAAGACTTTTTGGGAAGAAGAAAAAAACATTCTTAGCTGTGAGTACACAGCTTTCATTAAGGAAAGCAATGACTAATTTAAATATGTTCACTTTAAATTAACTCCTAAAGGAACTTTTAGGAAAAAAAATGTTGTTTGATGTTAGGATGTGAATAAATATACCAGTTAGTCAATAAGGTATTGCCCTGTCAATTCCAGTTTTCAATATATTTTAAATACCACTGCTCTTTAATAAATCTTAAGGGACAAACTATTTAACAAAGAAGCAGATCTAACAATAGGAAACTAAGGACTTATTTTAAGGTTGTTATTAATTTTGTTTATGAAAAACTCCAGGGAAAGGTTCTATAAGAGTAGTATTAGTGCCTTTAGAAATGTACAAGTTTGCATTGACTATGGATGACAGAGAGAAAGAAAAAATGAAGAAAGAGAAAAATAGCAAAAAAAAAAAAACCCCAAATATGGAGTGAGTGTGACAGGGCAGGGGGACAGATATCCTTTATGATATTTCCCCCTAATAATAGTTAGAGCTTCACATTCAAAAGTTTCTAATTTGAATTTCAAGAAAACAAACCCAAATTCATCATTCAGATGATCTTGGAGCATTTAAAAATGAAGTGTCCTGTACCTATAAACATTTCTGAGTGTTGGAGTGGAAATATACTAACAGAGAACAACAAAAGCAAATACTTACTGGAAGCACATTTCCCCTCAAAGTAATAGCTTTAAGACTTTTAGTTAAAAGAAAACATTGACTTATCTGAATAGGAATTAACAGTCTGGCAATTGTATATTGTTGATTTTTGATATCAAATATAATGTTATTTACTCTCTTTGTCTGGCTTTTGAAGAAAACAATAGCATTCTGACTCTTTTAACATTCTCATATTACATCTGTTTCGGGGCTATGATCGCTGATTTTTTTTTTATGAGACAAACTGTATTTGAGGGATTTGTTCCTGATAAATTCTTCTCCTGGGAAATTTAGACTTTTTTGTACTTAAAATGAGACTCGCTTTAATAGAATACAACATTAAAATATATGCAACTGATTCTTATACATTTACATTTCCTAATCTGAAAAGCACAATCTATTTGCACAAGCTTTGCTAATTCACGTAGGCATTACTATAGATCCAGGGCAGATGTGTTAGACCTTATTTTAATATTATGGCAAACATTAAAAAATGGTGTTAAGGGCAGTAAATCCAAAGCAACTCCAGCAGTGGTTTCATGGTAATTCATTTGCATTGGACATCGGACTAAATTTTGCATTTTGTTTCATTTCATATATTCCTAGGATTTTCTGGAAAGCAACCGGTCTTTTATGTTTACTGTGCCAAATCTCAATAAGTAAATCAGGCCTAGGATTGTGGTTGTGTGTATATGAATGCACATATGCATGGAAATGCTAAGTGCTACAGTTGGCTAATATATATATCATAAAGAAGTTAGTAACTATCTAGCCCTATTGTCCTTAGAAGCCTAGAAGCCTGAGTATTGAAATCACATTGTGCTAGCAATCATCTTATACCAACCAAAGGGACTAACCTTAAATCGAATGTGTGGTTAACATATTTGTTGAACAAAAACGGATCATTGAAAATTATAGCAAGTTAAGTTCGTATTCTTGACTCAGACTCCCACCCCTGTTTTTAGCATCTTGCTTTCCTTCTCAGAAACCACCCTTCCATTCTCAATGTTCCCTCTCATCACAGAAGAAAACTATCTGAGATAATTTACCCTGAGGTTTCAGTGATTTAATATGCTATACTTCCAGAACGTTTGCATTTTAAAAGGAGATCGCTAGGAGGGAGAAATGCTAATTTCAAAGGAATACATCACTAACAGAAGAACTGTAAGAACTATAACACCCAAGCATGGAAGATATTTTGAGGAAAGAGTATATCCTTGGTGCCTCCCAAGTGACAGGACACAGGCACCTATATGCTCCACTTAAGCATAAGGCCGACTCATTATTCCAAGGCAAATATGCTCAATTAGGCATTATAATATAGCAAATGAGAATACTGAAAAGCAGCAAAAAAAAAGGAAAAATAATGTTTTCTTGAGAAATTTTTTTTCCTATAGGATATTAATGCCAGAGAAATATATCTGAGTTATAAAATCATATACAATATTCTTTTGTGTAGGTATAACAAGAGATCTAATAATGTAAACAATTACTTCCTCAGTTAATATTTATTTCTCTGGTCTGTAAAGCCTTGTATTAGAAGCTATAGCTAAATGAAGAGCTGAAAAAAATATGGGCCAAATTCATGCACCAGACAATTCTGGAAATCCTCAGACTGTCCCCCTGAATTACCTTACGTTGGCCAAATCCACCAGATAATCCTTTCTTGTTAGTTAAGCCAATTTAAGCCAAAAAAAATACCTTTAGGGTTTTTACAGTATCCAGATGGCAGCCTACAGTGATTTTATCTAATATTCATAATCAAGAGATGGCACAGTCATTGAGTTTCAATTTCCTCATCTGTGAAATGGGTAGCTCATACCTTCCAAGGGTATTGTGATGCCTAGAGGAGATGCTCTATGTAAAGCACATGGCTAACCTGAAAGCATTGTATGAATATTGTTATTTGTTTCTTCCCAATGGTCAATGCAGAGGCCAGCACAGAAAACTTAATATTTTTTAAAGAATCAGATTAATGAGATGGTTCCCTAATTTTGCCTTCACTTTGCACAATGTAGACATGAACCGTAATCCACTTTGGCTGGGAAGAACAAAATCATGGCTGTTAACACAGAACACTAGAATAATTGGCCAATCCAGTTCCATGCATATGTATGCCAGTACTTTCAAATCAAAGAAAAAAAAATAGCACTTTGGGCAAAATCAAATGATGAAGCTTTTCAATTTTCAGGCAAATGTTTTTGCATCATTGAGATGTGGCCTTTGCTTAAGCTGCAACGCATCCAAAATTTGGTGATTCCCAAGGGATTCCCAGGAGAATTGCTTTGACATTTCAAAAGCATTTGCATTCCAGCTATATTTGAAATACATAAGAAAAGGGAGGTGAGGTGAGGTGGGACTGGGATGAGACAGGAACCTTTACAGACCTATTAAATCAGTGAAGGAGACCTCTATTATTCCTATGTATTTCCAAATGACAAAGAATTTATGGGATTTAAAGTCGCTCATTTTATAAGTGAAGAGATTAAGACCCGAAGAAGGGAATAATATCTTCTGATTACTGATCCAGGACACTTCATTGAGACCACTGACATCCTGATAAGTATATCAGAGAGACAAAAAATGTGTTGCATCGATAATTCTATACTAACCTGACACCCCATTCAAATTATTTCGAACTTGGTGGGAACTTAGTAGACCAGGTCTGGAGTCAGAGATCCTAAATTAGAATAAAAACTCTGGCATATCCTTCCTACTTTTGTGACTTTAACCTCTCTGGCCTCAGTTTCCTCAACTATAAAAGGAGGCCTCTAAGTTCCTGCCCAGATCCGAGTTTATGATCCTAAAATCTATCGTTTTGAACTGCAGAGCTCCAAAACTTTGAAAAGTTTCCTAATGTCGAATAGTTTTGTAACAAATGTCCACATTCCATCTGTTAAAATGTTAGTGTTTAAAATAACTCGTTTTGAACTTACACGAATGTTAGAAAGACTTTGCATAGCAAAGCCTTATCTTTCCTCAAGGGGCAAATGTATAAAGTGAGCATATTTTGAATAGTTCTCTGCCTTTGCTGCAAAGAATACATGCTAGCATTGTTCAGTGGTGTTTCAAGACCCTTTTAAGGATCATCAGTTTTCTTAAATGTGCTCTGTTCCAACCCTATCTCTTCTACTATCACTGGTCCCTTACACATAGTCCTTTGTTCGATCACTTTCCCTGTGTTGCAGATTGTTACTTCAGATGCATGAAACCTACAACGTGGTCACAATGTGGTACTGTAGAAGTAACTGGTTATGGAGTTAGAGGAAAGAAGTATAAATCTTGGCTCACACATTTACTACCTGTGGTACCTTGACCAAGTCATTTCATTTCATCTGTAAAATAAGGTGGTTGGACTACTTTTTTCCAGCCCTTCCTATTCTGAATCTTAAGCTCCTAAGTGATAGGAAGGACATAACTAACCTATAGGCTTTTAAATACCTGAAGGAGGAAGGAAATAAGGCACTGATGGGTATGGGGATGTGCTATCAAAGCTGCCTAAAGGCAAGAATCATGGTTTAAACTTCCTTGCCATCTTTCACAGTATCCAGCATAGTGCTGAGCATAAAAAAGTAAACAATGATATGAAAAGAGTAATTTATATTTACATAATGCTTTATAGCACATATCATATTTGACATTTACCACAACCTTACATGGTGGGAGCATTAAACTATTGTTATGAAATTTTTACAAATAAGGAAATGAAGACTGGGAGAAGCACAAGTATTTTGCCCCAAATTACACAGCAAGTAAATGGTGAAGCCAGAACTTGGAACTGAGGCTCCAGCCTCCACTCTGCTTTCAGCAGAGTCAAGGAATCTGGGAACCAAACACTGCATGAACTCAAACTCTATATTTTTTTGGGAGGGGGGTGGCAGTGGTGGTGGAAGGATTTCTTTGCTACAAAGGAGGGTTCAGTTGCAGGGACAGCGGAAGTGGTCTACAAAGAAATGACTGTTATATAAAAACAAAAGACATCGATACAACATTAAATGTACATGCTAGGGATAGGGTCTGGACTTGAGATTTAATTGGCATAGAGGACCCCTGGATCAGGAAATGCCTTCTACTGATGCAGGTCAGAAAATTCTCTTCAACTCATAGTTTGAGAGATTTGCTTAGATTAACACCAATAGGTTAAATGGTTTACCTAGGGTCATACAGACAGTATGTGTTAGAGGTGAGATTTAAACCCTGGTTTAAGTCTTCCTGGTTCCAGCTGGTATGCCATGTGATTTCTCCATGCTATGGAACAGTATTAGAAACCTAGTAATTAAAATTCATTACTGTTAAAAAACCTAAACTTCACAGTGCTCAATGAGAGGAAATTGCAGTTAAGTGTTAACTCCAGAAGGGAGTCTAGTTGACCCTAACTGATACACAGATACTCATTTTGTGGCTAAGGAAAGACATTTGAGGCTGTGGTTCATAGCGAATCAGGCTTCAGATTTCACGAAGGTCTCTGTTCAGATCCTGCTTCTGACATATGCTGATTGTGAATCATTTAATTCCTCCAGGCCCCAGGCAACTCTTTAAAACCAAATTGCTACATAGTTGTCCATCTACACTGTAGAGATTTGTTCCCCAAGCACTCCATAGACCGTTTAAATCCCAGCTCTTCACGCTGGCACACAAAAAAGGAAAGAAAAGATCTATGAATTCTGAAGACCTATCCACCACTGTGATGAAGTATGGAATAACTAATTAAATTACAACTCTTATTTGGTTAGCACTTTAAGAAAATAACCTTCTTCTATAAAGATATAAAGGAAGATAGCCAGAAAGAGGAAAGGTAGTGTAGCAGAAGGATATGAAGAGTCAGAAGATTTGGGTCTGAAAGCAGAGGCATGTGATCTTGAGAAAGTTCATAAGCCTTAATTTCCTCTTCTGTAAAATAGAAGTAAACCCTTCTCAACCTACTTTACAGGTTTGTTGTGAGGATGAAAAAGATATGTGTAAGACACCTTGTAAATCCCAATGTGTTATAGAAATGAATGCTGTCATTATTCCCTTCATCTCATCTAATTCCAAGCTGTTTGAAACCGCGTGCACCAGTGAACAGGAAGCAAACCAAGGTGAAATATACCTCTGAATGCCCAAGGCCACTCTCTGAGACTATCAATTGAAGAGCAAGTGTCAATGATATCCATGGACAGAGTGAGTTTCCTCACTGGATCAAATCAAACAAATCGTGGTCAATAAATTATTTTCTTAAATGAATTTGCCCTCATGTACACTGTTAGCCTTAGATACATTTTTCCTTCTCTTTGTCTTGAATAATCTCTCTTCTCAGCAATTCTTTGTAAAGAGGGGAATCTAAAAATTAGAGTTTTCTGATCAGAAGTCAATCCCCTTCTTCCCACTGAAACACACAACACATATACTTCTCCCCTGTTCTGCTTAGACCTGCTCAGATACAGCAAGACATCCCTCGTTCTTTTATGACTGACTTTCAGAATAGAAGATTGGAACCAGAGTTCCTACAAGAATTGTTTTCCATAATTAGAAGTACTTATGTACAAAAACTTACATAAAAAATGAACAAAGGGAGAAAGAGAGGGACTTTATTTAGGGTCCACAAATAATCCAAATTGGGGCAATACCCCAGTGATGTTACAAACAGGCTTGATCTAAAAAAAAAAGACTCGGGAAATGAAGTAGGGGTGGGGGGTTTGAAACACCATCTAGGGTGGTGTGCAAAGTGATTCCTTTGGAGGAATGAAGGAGATTGTGTGAGGTGGGAAAGGCCTGAGGCTGACAACTATAAATCCTGAAGGAAGGGCCCAAAGCATTCTTGGTACTAATGATTAAAGTGGAACTGAGTGTGATAGAATGGAAAATTCCTTTTCTACAAATTCCAGTGTGGGATCCCTTCACCTCAGCAGGTATAACAGCAGAAGAAACATGACTGAAGCACAAGTATTTTGCCCCAAATTACACAGCAAGTAAATGGTGAAGCCAGAACTTGGAACTGAGGCTCCAGCCTCCACTCTGCTCTCAGCAGAGTGTTCCCTCTGTTAGGTACTTGAGACCCTGTTAAGACAACCAGACACTGTCAAGACAGGTTTTTCCCAACCCCATGGAGGAAGCATTCTAGAACACCTCCTACCCAATGCACATACATACACCAATGTGCCTCTTCCAGAGTCTTGTGGTATCCAGTTCTTATCTCTGCTTTTCTACTGTCTTCAGCCTCTAGACTTCTGGAAGCAGTCTGGACTAGAGCTGGCCTTGCTGCACTACCTTAGTTTTCCTTCTCAAACACTGCCTACACCTATAACTATGAAGCAGAAGGATTCTAGAATCATAGATTCAGAGCTATATGGGACCTTAGAGAGCACATACAGTAAAAATCACACCTTTTACATGTGGGGAAATTGAGGCTCAGAGGCTTAAGTTCCTGGAACTAGCCAGACTGCAAAATAATCCAGTTGACCTGGAGGCACCCAAATCAACATGTAGCTTTAGAGTTTGTGTTAGTTACAAGTCTGGGAGAGAAACTCTGAAGAAGGACAGGGTATATAAAGCTGAGAAGTCAGAGAAAGATGATAGTTTAATTTGTTCTCTCTCTCTCTCTCTCTCTCTCTCTCTCTCTCTCTCTCTCTCTCTCTCTCTTTTCTTCCCTCCCTATGTATCCATTCACAATCTTACTTAAACTTCTTCCACTTGCATTTTTAAATTTTATGTCCCACTGAGATACCAAAAAAAAATATTTTCTAGGGCTAATTCAGTGGTTGATTTGCCAGGGTGGCTGAATACTACACACCAGACCCAAACAACCCATAAACCTAGTTGGCAAGTGGCAGAGAAGAAAAGCAGAACATGCTTCATTTGCATAAATGCTGTCATTATTTACCAAGAGAGATGTTAAAAGAATTTGAAGGATAAAGGTAGAAGAAGGAAGGCACATTTAGGGGTGCATAGTAAATTTCATTTAAAAGGCTGATGCGAGGGAGTTGCGAAGTTGGCAAAGTCATTTCTAACGTTCCTTTTCAGAAAAAGAGCCGTGAATGCTGAAAGCCCTTACATTTTAGCACTTATATTCCAGCCCTGCCTGCTCTCAGTTTCTTCATAAATAAATAACTGCCCTCTAATCTACCTCCAGGAATACTAAAGACCTTTCGGACAACCATCATTACAAGGAACTGCAAATAGCCCAGTTGATTTTCATTCGGATGTCAATCAAATCGCCCTGTTAAACGTGCCTGTTGGCAGAATCACCATTTTCGGGATATTTCGCAAATACAGCATGTGGTGGAGATTGGGGCTGTGAGCGGGTGTCAGATGTCCTTAGAGGATTTTTCTGGAGATAGTTGGCTGTTCCTCGCAGTGTTGTATTTTGCGATGAAGCGGTTGGAGCAGAGAGGGCAAGGATGTGCTTTAATTCTTAATGAGAATTCCAGCCATGCAATAAATCTGAACTAAAGACAAATTCATCAAGGAGAGGAGATAGCTAGGAAGGGGAAAGAGTGCATTGGAGGACAGGAGGGAAGCAAGTCATTTTTTTTTTTTTTGTGCTTCTGATTGCCATCCTATGCCATTACTGGTGTTTACGTATAGAGGATGGGGGAAGAGGCCAAAGTGGTATCTTAGCTAAGCTACCCAAAGACCTGGACTGTAGGTATCTAGACACGAATATAAATATCCACATAGCATGTGTGTGTGTGCAGTGTGTGTTTAGGAAAGATGGGTCCCCACCCAACTCGTGTGATTATAAGCAGCACTGGTTCGAGTGCCAGTGTCCAAGGGTCGGGAAAGGATGTTTTTATTTCCCTGAAATCTCCAGTTTTCTCCCAGTTCGTCCGACACCTGGCGCTGCGGGGCCGGTTTTCTAGGGTAGCAAACAACTTACTTAGCATATTGGCTTCGTGGGAGCCGTTGACTTTGCCATCCGGATGGATCTGCAGATGGAAACCGATACCAACTCTGCAGTAGAGACTGCCAGTCCGGCGCCCCGATGGGCTCCACTGAAAGCTGCTCCGCTCCGAGCCGCTGCCTTTAATTCCCAGGGAAGAAGAGGAGGAGGCGGAGGAGGCAGATGAGGAAGAAGCCAAGAAAGAAGTGCCGTTTCTGCCCCTACTACCGCTGCCCCCTCGATTCCGATTACTGGCTGTGGGTCTTAGTTGCGCTTTGGGAAGGAGTTGCTTCTCTTCAGCCCGGGAGCTGCCAATCAGGTGGCCGAGGAAGAGGAGAAGGAGGAGGAGGAAGGACAAGCTCATTCTTCCAGACCCAGGAGTCCTAAGAGCATCTTGCGAGGGTCCTTCCGGGATCCTTGGCCCCGGTGCGACTGCGGTGGCGGCGGCTGCGTGCCTATCCTGCCCCCCTCTCTGCACTCGGTGGACATATCCTCAGAGGGGAGGGGAGGTGGAGAAAAAGAGAGAGAGGAAGGGGGGGAGAAAAGAGAGGGGAGAGAGAGAGAGAGAGAGAGAGAGAGAGAGAGAGAGAGAGAGAGAGAGAGAGAGAGAGAGAGAGAGAGAGAGAGAGAGAGAGATTGAGGACAACCCGAACAAATCTCAACCGTGGCCCAGAGATATTTATAACAGGAGTGATCTCACTGCTCAATGCATGCCTGCGAAGCTAAAAGACCTTTCTCCTCCATCCGCTGTTTTGTGTACGAGCCGGCCAGAGCCGTGAGGGAACCTCGCTCAGGGAGGAGATGGGGGGGGGAGGAGAAGGAAAAAGATGAGCAGGAGGAGGAGAAACAGGGAGGGAAAAGGCTGCACCCTCAACTCTAGATGCATTCACCGGAGGGCCACCGCCGACAGCTCTCATTCACTCCTGGCACAGGGTTAATCCCCATCCCACAGCAAAGCCTGGGAATTCCTGACACAAGAAAGACAGATCTTCCGGCAGGCAGTGGCGGAAATAGGTGATTTAAACATGGAAATGTGCCATTCTCCCCCGCCCTCGCCATACACACATCAGAAATACCTCCCACCTCAACCCAGGTCACCATCTCCTTTCACAAACAAATAACTTGCCTTCCCCGCCTTCCCAGGTCCCTGAAGACCCCCCTAAAACCGGAATGTTTTCCCTCTAGGAATTAAATTCTGAAGCAATTCTGAAGCACGTTAGAACTCAAAGCCAAAAAGGGACTTCTCTACTCCAGAAACTCCACGTGAGCAGAGAGGTTCTGTCTCTGGCAGCCCAGTTCTAATTTCTGGAGGCTTTGGGGGGAAGCCGGAAGGGGAGTGGGGGAAATCAAATGCTTTAAGGTTAATAAAGGCCCAGACTGGTTAACTTCTGCACTTAAGACATCCATGCAGATCAGCATCTACTGATACTTGTGTAGAATCGAAGAACAGAAATGGACTTCAGGGTTCACCTAATTCTTCTACCTGAATATAAACTCCGTTTACTTGGGTCCTGGACAAAAACTGGTATAGTGCCTGGACTACAGAAGCACTTAAGAAATGCTTGTTTATTCATTGATTGATCAGCCAGCCGTTCATTTGAAACGCTTCAATGATGAGAAACTCACTACCTCTCAATCCTAACAATATTTGGATTTGTTTTACCACTCCTGTAGACCGCTCTGTGGTCTTATTGCAATATGAACACATGCGCTCAATCATTTGACTGTATCCATGGGAGGACAGAGTCTGGGCTAGTAAAAAAAAAGCCTGGGTTGCTCTCCCTCCCTTCTCCTTAGGGTTTGCAGATCTGCTATTTGCAGAAGTACGATGAATTATTAGTGATAGATAGCTTCTGATTTTAACCTTAAGAAAACTGAGAATGGAGAATTTCTCTTTATGCGATGAATTGTCACTTACCTGAAAAATATACCTTACTTGTATCCTTGGAATGGTCCGCAAATATACTAAAGCTATAAACTACATTCTGATACATTATTTGCTGGAAATCTTAATGGAAAAGTTGTATTATAGGCCAATAATGCCAGTTCACACAAGCCAGGGGTAAGGTTAACACAATTTGGCTTTATATCTATCTTAATAATGAAAAGTACATAAAACATATGCATGTGTTTCAGAACTGAAATTCTTTCAATTCTTCCAAGATGTAACATCAAACCAGTTAGAGAATCACTTGACCAAAGCACTGGAACCAATATCACCAGGAAAGAAAGGAGACAGCCTAAAAAATGAATGTGTATATCAACATAAGTAGCTATTAAAAGACATACAATAACTTATGAAAGAAAGAAAGAAAAGGCTAAACTCTACAGTCAGGAGCTGAATAAAACCCTTTTGGCTATTTAATGCTCAAGCAGTGCCTGAGATTTGGCTACCCTTCAGCAGACATACTCTGCAACAGCAACATGCTAAATGCTAAAATGTTAGATTTTTTTTTGTTTGTTTTTAGTACACAGAAATTCCAAAGAGCATTTGATTTCTTACTACTTAATGATGGAGGAAGCTGAACAGGATGCAGTGAATAAAGGATTGATAAAATTTCCCAATTGTAGGGCCAGATATTTGCAGGTTTCCCTACTGCCCTAATAAATCTGTGGAATTTAAAATAAAAATGCCTTGGCTCTGTATGATCCTGTAAAGTATTTATTGCAATTATTGAATTGTATCATCATTTTTCTAAAGGAGAGAAATATTGTCTTTCAGATTCCGTTTCTGTTTTTTCCTAGAACAGGTGACCTTGCAGGAACCCCTACAGCTGAAATATCATAAAGGGAAAGAAAATGTTTTACTTTGGATAAGTAACAGCTGAAGAGAATTTTGGCTACAATCACTAAAGGCTTACCCTCATTCTGCACAGACTTTGACTCAAAGAAAGAAAATAAGACTTTAGCTGCACAAGAACAGAGGATAATGTTCCCACAGAGATCTAAAGGACTCCTGTGTTCACTCCAACTTTCGAACCTGGTCTTGGAGGCTACATGCTTGTGTCTGTCCCTGAGGATTGGACAAATCAGACCTGATGATGACTTCGGTTTATGTTGCAATGCAATGCAGATCAGCATCTACTCTGAAACTTAAGTCACAAAGGGTTGCATAAGGCAATGAGAGAGATTAAGTAACTTGCCCAGGGTCATATAGATAGTATGTGTCAGAGAAGGGACCTGAACCCAGGTCTTCCTGAGTCCAAGGCCAGCCACACTGACTCTTTGAATATATTTGAACATAGACTCATTTACAAGTCAAATTGGCATCACAATAGGAAGAATCCCTGCGAGGGGTGAGCAGAGAACCAGAGAACGGGACAATATAGTAATTGTTCGGGGTAAAGGTCTACAAAGGTCCCCTAGCTAGCCATTTTCGCTCTGCTGGAGGCTCAAAGCACTTTTGCTGGTCTTCCTCAAAGGCTAAGCCAGCAGAGTAAGAGATATGAGTTGAGGCAGCGTAAACTACAAGAAGAAGCCTAAAGACCGGTTCCCCACGCGTACTTCCGGGCTCCAAAAAGAGACTGTTTCTCAATCCGACAGCACCAGGCTCAATTCGTGTCAACAGCTCAGAAGAGAAAGTGCATCGCACTTTCCAGCGAGCATCTAGAGCTTCGCTTAAAAAGCGCCCAAACCGAAGAGGGGCTTTCTGCCCCTTTATCAACTCTTGGGTCGCTCAGATGCCTCTGGGAGGGAGCCTCATTATGGGTCAAAAGGCTGCACAGAAGTTGCGTTACCAACCGCTCGGCTAAATGGTTATGGTTAATTACCTACAAATTACCCAGCCAACTGACATCAAGGTCAGAGAGAAAAATGTATTCGAGCAGCCCAACCTGCAGAAATAAACTAAAGACAAGAGACAATTTTCTTTCGATTGACAAAGTGAAGCCAACTCCGAAAATCGGCAGAAGCTGGTTCCAGGCCCTGAGAGAGCGCCCGGGGCTGGCTAGAGAGCTGAGGCTCCTTAGCCTCTCCCTCCTGGCTCCCGCCTCCCTTGGTATCTATTTGTCTAGCTGCCTTGGTCGACTCCTATCTGTGAATCACCTGTGTAGTCTGCTTGCATTCTTTCCTCTCAGAGTGAAAACAGGACTACGCCGGTGGCCCTTTCCCTTGTTATACAGTCTTAGTGGGTAAGTCCACCGTCAAGGACCATAGCAAGGCAGTTGTCATTTACCTTCAGCCTTAGGTTGGAGCCCAGGAAGCGAACGAGAGAGAGCTGGGCTCAGAAGAAGGCCTAAGCTGGGGTTTGCCTTCTTTGCTACACGTAACTGCCTTCCTTGATCCTCCCCCAAATTAGTGTTTGTCCAGAAACAAGGGGACCCAGGACAACAGACCCTGCCCTCTTCATCTAGCACACTTTAAATAGCTGAGGAAGCAGGTTCTTGGGACTTTCCTAAGAGGCTAGATGGAAACTGGAGGCCAGGGGTCTCTGACAACCAGAAAGCCCAGAGTTCCACATTTCCCTAATTTAGAATGTATCAAAACCTCCTAGAAAAGAAGGACAGCATATTTCTGTTAGGAGTAAGTAGAATATGCACATGGGATCCCCATTGTGTGATTCCCCCACAGGCACAAACAAGATCTGCAGAGCTTTCTTCTATGTGCTGCTTCGTAGGCAGTTTCCAGATGGGCTTTAAGAGACCCTTCCCTCCCATTCTCACCCCCACCTTATGACCTCAGTTTCAGAAAGTAAGGCAGAGGTCCCTCTCATCCCATAGTGACTTCCTCCCCCATCCCTCCCAGCATATAGTATTCCGCTAAAGCCTAAATTGGGGGCGGGGAGGGGTGGGTAGGAGTCGGGAAGTGATCCTGTTGAGGCCTTCTGTCGACACTGCTGCCAGGTCCCTTTATTTCCACCAGGCCTGTCCTCTGATCAGCCAAGTTGGCAGCCGAAACTAGCAAATAGCCTCTGGCAAAAGGGGGAGGCTAAAAGGAGGGGCATTTTCAGGGGGCATGAATTGGAAAGAAACAAAGACACGAGGAGAGTGTGTGGTGGAGGGGAACACTCACTGACTGGAGAGAAAAGAGAGGCTCCGGCCCCTGTGGCATGGCAAAATGTGATTGGAAACCCCCCTGCAGATAGTAAGGCTTTGGCCCAGGGAACTCAGCTCACGCAGGCTTCTTCTAAGGTCTTGATCCCTCTGAGTAAGCATCTGTTCTCTTAATAGCAGACAGGAGGCTACTAGTCTCTTCTTTGCAGAATCGGGGTTGGGAGGTAGAGCTTCGGGTGGTGCATGAGATGGAAAGGGAGAGGAGCAAAGACATTGTTTCTAGAAAGAATGAGAACATTTATTTTAAAAAGATTTTTTGAAAAATTCTCACATGTTTACTTTCTCAGTTCTCTTCCCCCTGTTCCTCTTCCTTCTCTCTCTCTCTGTCTCTGTCTCTGTCTCTCTTTCTCTCTCCCCCCCCCCCTATTGATCATCCTGGGAGCTTTGA